CCATATAATCTACTTCCCTGCCTATAGCTATGTAAATGATTGTGTAAAGGATGACAAGCAAGACTGTATGAATATTTTTATTTGTATAAGTCTTTATTATTTGTATTTTTTTTACAATGTTTTAACAAACATTTCAGTTAAAAACAGTCATTTTTTGTTTTTGACAAATCTTGTTTATAATGTACCTTATGAAACAGTGTGCAAAGAAAAAAACAAAACAAAAATTCACCATGAACATTTTTGAACTCCTCAGAGTTCTTCAGGCATTAAAAAAATTTATTGTGTATTCAATTTGAATGATGAACTGTTCAAATGGTTGTATTTGAAAGCTTTTATATTCCATCGGACATTTATTTAATGCCTAAAGAACTCCTTTGGGAAGTTCAAAAGTGTTCATGGTGGATTTTTGTTTTGTTTTTTCTTTGCACACTGCTCATCGGTTTCGTAAGGTACAGGTACATTATTGACTACACCCCAACATTGTGTGTTGTGATTTACTAAATCTTGTTTAGATGATACGATATGAATATATAAATAAAATAAATGTTAAATATCTCTTTTAAAAAGTGTCAGTTTCAGGTTTTACTTTCTTGTTAGTTACATTATTTTCTACAGAAACTATTCTACTCTCAGCACTGGGGTGAAATGTACACTAAACTGTCTGGAACCTGTAACTGGTGTGTAACGTGTATATACTATATACCGCTGTTGACAAACATTTTTGAGCGATCTCTTTGCTCTTCTTCAGGTCGACTGGAATTTCCTGGACAGAGTGTATTCTATTTGTTGGGATCGGGTGTCAATTCCGATGAGGTGGGTGTTTTCTGACATGCGCGGTTGCATGGTGGGGGAGGAAGTGGCAGGTTGGCATCCAACAGTGATTGCCAGGCCAGAGACAGAGTCAGCTCTTCCTTCCGGTTAATGCACGTGGTTAGTTGGCTGGCATTGTAGATAGTCTTGGCCTCTAGCCACCTGAGATGCTCTTGGTGTGGTGTGTTGATGATAACAGTAGCTTTTTTGAATCGTGCTTCGACCTCGAGATCTGACACATACGTGGCCAATGCTGTGGTTAGTCTCCCGTGTCGGATATCCGCCTGATGTTCACATAGGCAGGTATTCAAGGAACATTTGGTCAAGCTGATGTATAACAAGTCTTCGTTCTGCCTGTTGTCCCTGATTGGGATAGAATAGATTCCGGGGAGTCTGGTGCAATTGGAAGGGTCTTTATCATTTCGCAAGATATGGAAAATCATGGGACATCTTCTGTATGCCAACCGTATCCCATGTTCTCTGGCTATCCTCTTATGTATTGTCTTAAGGTATGGGTTGAATGTGATGGGGACTCTTGCCAAACTGTCTTACTGTGGGTCGGCGAAATTATCTGTGGTCAAGGTGTGTTTCCGGCACTGGTATCGTTCTATTAAGTGGAGTGGCATGTTTAGGAACCCGTGCTCGGTTGCTATCCTCCTGATGCGGGCTAATTCGGTTGTCAGGACTTGTGTGGTGGATGAGTGGGAATTCTGATTAGAAGAGCATTTTTCCACTCATTCACCATGCAAGCCTTTATCACTGAATTGAATTATATTAAGAGGGTAGCAGCCAAACAAGGTTACCAGGGTTTAACACACTGTCTAATTGAGTGACATCAACGCTTACAGTATGCACCCACTACGCCTACGAAGACCAACACTGACCAGGATGACAGTACACGCCTCCCAGTCACCTTTAACCCATATGTTAAAGCAATATACACCGAGATTGCCGGAAAACAACAGTTACAAATAGCCTATAGAAGATGCCCAACAATCTTCGACATCCTCAGAAATGGAAAGGGCTATCCGGTTTGTAGCAGACTTCCCGGTGTGTACTCTATCTCACTGAAAGATAACAGATGTGACAAGAGCCTTGTGTACATCGGCTCAACCAAGCGATCTTTAAACACTAGAATACAGGAACATCAAGTGGACCTTTGACACGAGCGTTACACCACAGCCCTGACCACCTTTGCATCTGATCCCGATATCGAACTGGAGTTTGACAAAGCTGACATCATTGACACTACTCCCCACCTTGAACATCTAAAATGGTGGGAAGCCATACTCATCTTCAGGGCTAATCGCGTGACCACGTGTATAAACCGGAAAGATGAACTTAATCTTTCTCTAGCGTAGCAGGCCCTTATAAACAACGATCTTTAAATATCAACATCAGTGCATGAATGTGCAGGATTGTCTCGATGATTTCCGTTATACGAGTTTTCAGTTTTTTGTTTAAATATCTACATTCCATTTTTTTTATTTTATTTTTTTTTAAGTATTCCGTCGGAATTATCTCTACCTGAAGAAGAGCTACCTCGATAGCTCAAAAACGTTTGTGAAAGGAAGGTTGTTTCATGCAAATTACATCAGTAACAGGTTCTGGATTTAGTATTTTATAATTTCATTCCATTGTGCAGCTGCAACTTGTTTGTTAACTACATGGAAGTTATAAAAAAATAAAAATAAAAAAAAATTATTTACTTTTAAGCATTTTTATGATAAACCAAACAATCAAAAACATTTTAGACTTGTTTCCACTTAAGATTTGTTGGCTGTTCTGTATATTATAAAGAACCCATAGCCAGAAATGTGATATAAAGTTTTTACAACACTTTGCAGTCGGTATGCTGAATGAAACAGCAGAATACAGTATTTATGGCAAGTTTTATTGACAAAACAATAGCGTACAATCAAACTGCACATCGAATCAGTGGCTGCACTACTTTAGAGTAAATGTTCAATGTGACGACCATCAACTTTGTTACATGATGTGCAAAGATGAACCATGTTTTGTCCGATTCTCTGTAAGATGCCACACTCTCCTCTGATGGTATTAAATGCTGTAAAGATGCGCTCCGTAAGCTTTTGAACTGTTCCTACAGGTGTTGCGTACACAAGGGACTTTACATAACCTCAGAGGAAAAAGTCAAGAACAATAACATGACGTCAATGGATGGAAGGGTAGCTACCAAAGTGAAGGGCGGTCAAGCACTTCCTACCGCTGTAGAAACTTTATATCACATTTCTGGCTATGGGTTCTTTATATCAAAACGTTCAAAATTTCATCCTCTATAATCCCCCAAATTTTTTAAACGTCATTCTGATACACCCTGTATAATAGTCCTTTATTTTACTGGTGTCCAAAAATTTACTGTAGTTAACAAAATGTGAAAAAAATGAAGACTGGAACAATGTATGTTACATATTGAAAACATTCTGATTGTAAAGGTGAAATTTAGACATTAAGATTTTTTTTTGTAGAAATGACTGAAAAAAAATGTTCTAGAATGCTCAGTGTATGTTTATACAGTATCAATCAATCAGTTTTTATTCTTATTAAGGCCGTGGCCAGTTATAAGTGATGTATATTAGTAACAATCAAATCTTACTATCACTAAAATATACATCTTCTAACCTGAGTTAAACCAGGATCTCTATCACATGGTCTGATAAGTTTATAGTATAACTTTGTAAATACACTTTAGAGAGGATCAATTTGTGCTACAAATGAAAGCATTTTTACTTTACATATGTACACTATAATTAAATTTCTATTATTGTTTTAGTTATTAAAATTATTACATCAACATGAGTTTGTGAGCATATTTGTATTGTCTATAAATTGTATCGATCTTGGTTATATGGAATACTACATACATAGCTTTTTCGTTAGTACATTTAAGTAAAAGGTGTAGTTCAAGACTCTGTGCTAGCTCCTTTGCGTCTTTATAGCCACAAAACATATGGAATTTTGAAATTATTTTTTGACACCATAGGCAATTACTTAGAAAATTCGATAATTTTATTATTAATTATTATCAATTCTGATTGATGTTTTGTTGGACTTCATTTAATATCAACTTTATATCTGAAGAAGGGGACAGATTGATAAATATAATTTTTCCAACATATATTAATTCTATGTTCCAGCTCAATCACCACAAAAATAAATTTATCTGTTATGCAATGTTTAAAAAGTTTTCCAAAGTTCCTCTTAATTAACAATAATAGACCACCTGCTGGACTGCCCATTCTACTTGTCCTCTGACCTCCGCTGTACAACCTCATATTTTCACATTCTAAAAACACTTTGTCGTCTTTACTCAATTCAGCAATCCAGATTTCCGTGAGGTCACTTATAGTATGAGATTTTATATGATTTTTTACTGGCTCACTGAACATTTTTCCTTGAAGTCCTTGAATGTTCCAAAAACTTATAATTAAATTCTCTCTGCCTTTGTTTGTATTTTTTACAGACGTAAAATTATTCTTATTATCCTTATCAGCCCAATTCTCCGAACTCATTTTGGAATACTGGACAAAATTCGAGTAACTTTGGGTTGTCTCCGTATTAAGTATATTACGTCTTTTTTTCCCGTCCTCCTCTGAATCTATGAACAAAAACTACTCCTAAAAAATGGTCTATTTGAATGCTCTTATCGAATTAATGTCGTAGTATGTCTTAAGTTGTGTTTTATATAATAATCATTTCTAACTATTATTTTATTCTTGTTTAACTTTTCCTGTTTAATTCTAATCTGTAGATATTTCCTTCTTAACCTCGATCGGCTGTAAATATTATTTTTTTCCTTGTCCTCACCAACTAAGTTTGATTTCAACCGCCAAAATTTTCTAAGAATCTTATTTCTTGCATTAACAGACTCAAGAAATGATTTGACAATAGGTTTATTTTCTCTATTATTTAATTTGATTAGTCCTTCTATTTCATTATTTTTTAATCTTAAATCATTATTTATGAATAGATTAATTTCTTGTGAGTAATTTAGTGATTTGAATGGGTAGTTTATAATGATTATATTCTTTTTAGTTTTCTCGTTTACAAGTTTATCAATTTCAAATTCAAACATACCTTTAAGATGATTATTATTTTTTGATTTTTCATCCAGTTCTTGTAGCTTTTGATTAATTCTCTTCATTTCTTCTTTGTAATTCTTGTTCTCTTCTTTCAATATGTTTACTTCTGATTTAATTGATTTAATCTTAATATTTAGCTGACTAAATTTATCCTGAATTAGATCATAAATGGATTTTAATATATATTGAGGTTCAATATCAAAAGCGCTCAGCAACTAAATAAAGATAAACAAAACACCTTTTTTGCCGAGAAATAAACATAATTTTTAAACAACAAACGTTTTCAGCCTAATTAATAGGGCATCTTCAGGTTGAAAACTAAAACGGAACGTAAATGTTCCATGAATAGAACATAAAAATTTAAATCAAAAATTTTACAAGAGAAAAAATAATGGAAGAATATTTAAAAATTAAAATAAAACAATAAAACAAAAATAACATAAATCTTCAATGTATTAATTCTGGTCAGAGTTTGTAGTAAATTTCTTAACCAAATATTTCCATGCCGAAGGTAGGCTCTCAGAATCCCTCGCATTTAAACAGCCTTCTCTTATCTTACTTCTGTATATTTCTATTTTTTCTGCCGTCATTGCTAGAGTTGGGGAAGACAGAGGTTTGATGATTGTTGCCTCGTCCCATTTCACCTCAGATCCTTGTGTTTGCGCCATTTGTGACAAAACCGTTGAATTAGACGCTTTTCTTATGGCATATCTATGTTCCTTGAGCCTTACTCCCAAGCTTCTGGTGGTGACGCCGATATAATCTTTTTTAACGTCCAGTTGTAAGTTTTCATAAGGAATCTTATACACCCCTGCTCTCTCCTCCGCTCTGATATTATCCTTATCGTTTCTCAAGATCTTATACAAATTAGGGGCTCTTCTTAATACCAT